ATCAGCAAGATCCTCAACACCCTTAAGCATCAAAGCCCTTGCATCCACACCAAATCTAATGTCTTTTGCAGCATAGTTTCTATTCCAACCCAATCTACTACCAATCTGCAACAACCACCAAAACCCATATCCCAATACATATGAATCATAACAATGTCATTTATGTTTGAAAACAGAAAAACCAAAATCATAGGAATCAAAACTTTTGAAGTCTTTTCATTCAAAAAGTACCTGCTGGCTGCTGTTTCCAGCAACCCTGCACAATAAAGAGAAATGAATCTATAATTAGACCCCAAAATCAAAAAAGAGTCAAGCATAACAGTTAAAGCATGCACGCAATAGTTCCAAGAACAGTTCTTGATTACCTGGCTTTTGAGGCAAGCTTGGCTGCGAAGCGGTACATGCTGCAATGTCTCGGAAGAAACTGTATGAACTGCAGGAGAAAATATGCAGACAAGATATTAATCTTTCGGAGAGAACAGAGGTGCAATGCAGAAGTGAGATTGGATTTGGTTTCAGTGGAACAGTGGTGGTTTGTATGCTTAAAATGGTCCTAAGCGAAGAGTCTAGAAGTAAGAGATCCTAGGGTTTAAGGGTTGCACTTTCTATGGGTTTAACTTGCAGCGTTTTACTCTCAAATTCGAGAGGCGTGTAGAGATGTAAAGGATAGGATCGGGTGCGGGTTATGTTAAACTCGTACCCGACCCGTATGTTTTTCACTTTAGTCGTACCCCTTGCCCATTAAGCATTTACCACCCTTTGGGTTTGCCGTGAGTAGTGTTGTTAAATTAAACGAGTCTGACTCGGCTCGGCTCGAGCGCGATTCGACTTGAGTTTAAAGCCTTAACGAGCCGAGCTCAAACTCATTTAAAGCTCGTTTGGTTAACGAGTCGAGTTTGACTCGGCTCGATAAGGCTCGAAAAGTGGAATTTATGTTATTTTTTATAGTTCGGTTCGTTAAAGCTCGAGATTGGCTCGTTAAGGCTCGAGCTCGAGGCCTTAACGAGCCGAGCTCGAGCTCGATTTTTAACTCGTTTACTTAACGAGTCGAGCTCGAGCTCAAACACCTTAAGCTCGAGCTTAGCTCGAGCTTGGCTTGGCTCGGCTCGGCTCGGCTCGTTTACAGCCCTAGCCGTGGGTTTTTCACTTGATTGGATTTTATGCTACCCAAAATCTTACTCGGCCCGACCCGGCCTTGTGAGTGAAAAAGTTATGTACATATTTTGAAATGTCTAGTGCATTTTTTTATCGTTAAATAAATTTATATTGATCAAAACTGAAAGTCATACAACAGGATCGGCTTACAAGAACAAAGCGGGTAGCCACAAGTTGACTCCTCACTTGCAAGGACAAGAAATAACGAGGACAACCACAAGTCGGCTACTCACTCATTAGAAGCAAAAACAATGAAATTCCACGGGGAAGCTAGCAGCGCTAGCACAGCCTTAGCGGCGCTAGCAGTGAGGTGGCGAGCTCGGGCATTCAAGACCAAGACACCTCCTTTCAAATTCAGCAAGAACTCTCGGAAATAGAGCAAACATGGAGCGATATACATGAGTCTTTACCTTTCTAATCACGAGGCTTGGAGGTTGGCTTTCATTCTCAAAAATCAATCGATTCCTAGCATACTAAATGAATGACACGGTGGTCGCTAGCGCTACTTTTCTTAAATTTGGCTCTCCAAGTCGTCCCCTTTCCTTCTTTTCTAGTCCATTTGAGGGCACCCTTGAGCGTTGTTGGACTATGCCGGAGGCTAACCCAAGTTCGAATTTCACTCCGTATTTCCAAGCTAAAGGAGAAATGTCTAATGCATTTACTACTATATGTCATGTACGAGTCAATAATAATAAATTGTATAAATTAAAGGAATGAACGGATATTGATTAATATAAAAAATAGTGTTGAACATTAATGTTAATATTAAGTTTTATTTTTATGTATTTGTAGACAGCCTCTCGTACAGCATAGGCTTCAGCAGCTGATATATAATAGTTTAACATGTGACTTGTATGTGTATTTCTCTCGTTATAAATTAACTTTTATTTTAGTGTTACTGTTTACAATTAAGGAAAATATTAAAATTTTACATTTTCAAACATTGGTTATAAATAATACCCACAAAATACTTCTTTGTATATTTGATTACTTACCCCTTACTGCAATATATTATTTGGATTTCTAAACAACCTATGGTAAAGTTGAGTAATTGTGGCAAATATTATAAATTGTCCATTAATTTAAAAAAAAATATAATTTATATTATTAAGAAGTAAAAGAAATGTTATTTTTCAATACGTAAAAAATATTTTAACTTTTTTATTACTTACAATAATGCATACTAGTGCAGATCTCATGCGATGCACAGGATGGACAATTTTAAGACTATTTACCACAGTTTTAAAGCTATTTACTCAACCTTGTTATTATATTCCTGAATAAAGAAAATTAAATAAATAAAAATAATAATACTATATATTATTAAAAACATACATGTAGACTAGGGGCGACCGAACCCAATTAGAAAAACCGAAATCACTGAACCATACTTTCCAGTAACCAAAGCTCATTGAATAATCAATTTAAACTGAACATAACTAACCAAACTTCTTGGTCGGTTTTGGTCGGTTTGGTGAAGTGTGAGAACCTTTACAGAACATGGTCATTTCGGGTCAAAATATAGAGAAGTGTGAGAACATTTTCACAGAGTGATCATTTTTTGGTCAAACCATGGAGAAGTGTGAGAACCTTTGCAAAGATTGGTCATTTCGGGTCAAAACATATAGAGAGGAGTGGGTCTTTTACTACAAAAGAAGACATGGATTTTAGAGTTCATAGATTTTCTATATTTCTGTTTTTCATAAGAGCACTAATTACAATGATGATCCTTATATACACACTCAGTAAGAATCTAGAAGCATCATATTTTAGGATTATAATTCTCATTCCTATCCAAATCATTCCTAACGTCTAATCTACACCCTACACGTGCATGTTGAGAAATGAGAGGGTACAATGGAGCCGTTGCATTATTTTGGCTGGGACTGCTAGTTGGCATTGTGCAGGAGCATGCCTCAGGTGTTGCTGCTTTCTTGTCTTCACATGCAGCATCATCTTGGACGTCATTCTGGTGAGGCAAGCAAGGAGATAAAGGTAATTTTACACACCCCCTCAATTAGAGCCGAGATAAGAAAGTTACAGTAAGTTTATCCTTTAGCTTGGTGAAGAATTGATGACTGAGTGGCTTAGTAAATATATCAGCAATTTGTTCATGAGTTGGAACTTGTTGAACACTCAATACTTTCTGAGTTGTCTTTTCTTTAATAAAGTGGATATCAAGCTCTACATGTTTGGTCCTTGCATGCATGACAGGATTGTTAGCCAAAGATATTGTGCTTTGATTATCAACCCAAATTACTGGTGTTCCTTCAACCTTTACTCCCAGCTCTTTCAGCAAGGATTGAAGCCACACTAACTCAGTTGTACAATGTGCCAAACTTCTATATTCAGCTTCTATACTGCTCCTTGAAACACAACCTTGCTTTCTTGATGCCCATGACACCAGATTCTCTCCCATGGAAATGCAAAAACCTGTCACTGATCTCCTGTCATCAATGTCACTAACCCAATCAGCATCAGAGAAACCACTTAGGGAGATGAACTTAGACTTCTTGATATACAAGCCATGATTGCAAGTATCAGCCAAGTATTTTAAAATTCTCCTTACAGCCTTTAAATGAGTGTGAACGGGATTTTCCATGAATTAAGACACCATATCGACACTATATGCCAACTCTGGTCTGGTAATTGTTGCATATTGAAGTGCACCTACAAGGCTTCTATAATAGGTGGTGTCCTCCAAGGGGTCTCCCTCAGTTTTTGAAAGTTGGTCCCAGCAATCATGGGAGTTGGTGATCCTTTGCTCTTCTTCATTCCTGCTCTCTCCAATAATTGTTTAATGTAGCACTTTGATTAAAGAACATACCATTGTCAACCTCAGTGACCTCAATTCCAAGAAAATGATGGAGAGTGCCCAGATCTTTCAAAGAAAAGCAGCCTTGTAATCTCTTGATTACTGAGGATATGAGAGATGGATCATTCCCAGTAATTACCATATCATCAACATAGATAAGGAGAAATACAACATCTTGATCCCTTTTTAGGTAGAAAAGAGAATTCTCTGCCTTTGATGTGACAAAACCAAGTGTGGTTAATTCATGTTGAACTTTATGAAACCAAGCTCTTGAAGCTTGTTTTAAGCCATATAGAGCCTTAACAAGTTTGCAGAACAAACCTTCTTGTCCCTTAACTTCATAGCCTGGTGGCTGATTCATGTAAATTTCTTCTTCAAGCTCACCATGAAGAAATGCATTGCTTACATCTAATTGCCTGATTTTCCATGAATTTGTCACAGCAAGAGATAGAATCACTCTGATAGTTGTAGCCTTCACAACATGACTGAAGGTTTCCTTGTAATCCAGGCCTGCATATTGAGAGTATCCTTGTGCTACAAGCCTTGCTTTGTATCTTGATATGGATCCATCAGGATATTTGTTTAATTTGTAGACCCATTTGCAGCCAACCAGATTCTTTCCTTATGGGAGATCAACAAGATCACAAGTCCTGTTTTCCATTAATGCCTCATATTCTTATGTCATAGCTTGTCTCCATGTCTTATGCTTGACAGCTTGATGGAAATAAATTGGTTCAATTTCCTGCTGGGTATCTTTCTTAGGTTCACAAGCATAAATCCTAGGTTTGTGGATGCCTGCCTTTCTTCTAGTGACCATGGGATGAGTGTTGGCAGTCTGAAAGTATCCTTGATCATTTTGAGACCTGTCATCTTCAACATGAGTATCCTGCAATAAATTGTTAGGACTAGAAGCATAATAGAAACCTTGCATAATAGGTAACTCAACCACCAGAGGTATAGTTTCATGGGTAGAGTGAGAGTGTTGGATGTGCTTTGTGGTGTGGAGTGATGGTTTGGAGAGGATTGATTGTGGCCTTTAGCCGGAGAAGGGTGTTGTTTGGTTTGTTATGTCTGGACAAGAGGGTGCAGTAAGGTTGGTGTGGTAACAGGCACATTATCACCACTGCAGCCAGAGTGGCCTTTCACTTTCTGAGCAAAAGGAAAAATGCTCTAATCAAATTTGATATCTCTTGTCACAATAACTTTTCCTTTTGGTAAAAGGACCTTGTAACCTTTATGTGCATTGATGTACCCCAAAAATACTCCTGGTAAAGACCTATACTCCAGTTTGTGTTTACTGTAAGGCCTCATGCAAGGATAACACAAACATCCAAAGATTCTAAAGTTTCTGTAATTTGGCTTGTGCTTAAAAAGCTGCTCAAGAGGGGTGATGTAGTTCAAGATTTTAGAAGGAAATCTGTTTATAGTGTAGA